GGATCACTTAAACCAAATTTAGGGGTTGCTTGATATTGATCATCGTTTTGCGCAAACAAATGGTGACCAATTGTCATTAACCATTAATCAATCAATTTTAGTTAATTAGGAGGTTGGGATGGTTGAAATGCATGAGAAGCAAAGACTAACCCTTAGGTCACTCTTTGTTTGATGAATAGATGTTTTTCATTAATTGGATTGTATGAGTGCACGATGTGAAAATGAATATATGAATCAACCGAAAACCGACACCATCGAGGCGGTCCATGGAGGAGGAGGTCGAAACTCATGAAGATGGAGGCTAAAGACCAATGTCCACTTCAATCCCGTTTTATACCTTATCATTTGTTACCCAACCTTGTCTCAGGTTTTCAATTTGATTTGTACTAATTTCCCGATGAATGGCAGGTTTTTCTTTCTTGCGCTTAGAATAACTTGTCTTTTCATTTCATTGGGTAATCTCAATACATTGTTTGTTAATTTCCTTTTCTAGGCTGGAATTACGATTAGCTTAGAATTTAAATGAACTCCAAAAAAAAAATTTGCATGGACACCTAGTGGCATTGAGACCTTAAGGATCAAATGGTAAACCAAGTTGCATCATCACTTAGAATAAAACAAACTAGTCGAGTACTGAAAGGGCACTAATAGAAATGTTAGCGTAAGCAAGTCCCTGTTCCAATAATTCTCTGGTTACGTAGAAATCGAAATGAAATTCTCGCATTTTGATTAAGTATTCTAACTGATCCCGACAAAGGCTAGTGGCGACTCCTAGAAAATATGTAACTTGTTTAAAAACTTAAAAATGATCAAATGTCACGCAAGATATGGACTTAGGGAGAATCCACATCTATGATTGATGGGACGTTTGCGATGTTATCAAATGATGATCTATTTGAGACCATCATTTGTACGTACCATTCAGACCATCTTATAAAAAATTACCTCTAAATCTACTCTTGGGGTAGCCCTCGAGGGTAGGTCACGACATGCATCTAGAAATTCTTTTAATGCTGGGAAATGAGTAGTGGGGTTAGATCTTCCCAAAGGTGAGAAGTTAGATTCTGAGAACATACAAATTTGTGAAAATACAGGATGGGGTTGAGGTTTCAAGACACAACTAGATTGTGATGGCACAACTGACATTTTTAAAGGGAAAGTATTCTTCTCAACACTTTTGAATATGGGCTTATAGAAGGGTGAAAAAATTGGCTTTTGAGAAAAGGGTTTTTTCTTAGGAAGTGAAGGTAGTTGTGAAGGTGATTTGCATGGTTTTGGAGAAAGGTGCTTGTGATTTGGGTGGTCCATATGATACCATAAATTGGTATCTTCCTTCGTCTTCGCCTAGAGGTCCAATTGTAGGGTCTCCATCAAGGTACCTCTGGTAAAGTTTATATTTTTGTCGTTTCTTCTTTCTTGACGGCCTGTCATCCTTTTCATTTGGAGGATTTATACAAAGTGTTTAGATCCCAGAAACAGTGCGCTGTTTGAGGGTCTTAGTAATAATGAATCGAACGACCTTCTTTGTCAAAGGATTCAATCAGGGCTTTTGAATATGATCACCATCTTCAACGGGCTTGTCAGCAACATGAGGTTGTATCATAAAGATAGTAGGGAAAATAATGGGAGAAGAAATTTCTTCATTTTCCTTACTAAACTTAATGACTATAGTCCCATTTTTCTTCTTGATGAACTAGGATTCCATTATCTGGACTGACATGGAGTTTTGGTGGAACTTTTCATAATTAGTTACCCAAATGTCTAGGAGTAACATGACTAGCTGGTTATGAGGGATCTGTCAAGGGATGTAGCTACAGGATATTTGGTCATTGTCAATAGAGATGAACAAAGCATCTTCAAATCTAGGAAAATCGAAGTTAATAGCTTGGTTTTGGACCTAGTAAACCATTTAGTAGTGCGAAGTTGCAACAATCGAGTCAAGAGTTTGAGGAGCTCCAATGAGCTGTAACTGGACCTTGAGAGCAGATAAAATGTGTGGATCTGAAAGGATCATATTAAAGTTTGGAAATAACTCAACAAACACTATTCTGGCATTAAGAGTAGTTCAGATGATACCTATGCAAGTATGTTGGTAATCCAAGAAACAGATGTCTAAAAGAGCCATTTGAGCTACAACTAGTAGACCTTTCCTATCATGAAAAGACAAAGCAAGGTGTATAGCACCAAAGTGGGGATGCGTATATCCTTGTTGTATCCATTATCTAGGAAAATCTAAAGGAATTTAGAGGGTGACAAAGTGCTCTTGCTCGGTTGCAGGAATAGGGTGTTGATCAAATTTAGAGGACTAGATACTCTTTGACTTCTTTAGGAGTATGTTTGGTCAGTTGTTTGATAGATCTGATGAGAGAGAAAGAAGCTGGTTTGGCAAATGTAGAATATGAGTTGATAAGTGGGAGATGAGTTTCAGAGATCTTACTATCCTCACTAAAGTAAGAAACCTCATAGAGATAGTCAATCTTAGAAACATTAGAAGTATGGAATTAAACATGAGGGTTTAGAGACATAGGAGCATTAACAATTACTGGAGAATTCAAATCAGAAGTTTTAGTAATAGTGGGAAAAAATTTTCATGTACTCGTTATTTTCCTTTTAGAATAAAATATTCTGGTTAATGCTATGGCTCTAATACAATCAAGGGGGGCTATGATATAATTTAAAGAACTTGAGGACAGAGTCAATGGCAGGCATGTTATCCCAAGGATTCGGCTCATGAGCTATTACATATAATGAGATTGTTTCTGTTCCTTCTATTATTATGTGCGGAGTAAAGATGAAGATCTACTGTATCTTGGGAGAATAGCCACTAGAGCCTATCGCATCGAGTTTTGTACTTAGAGAGGCGGAATTATCCTTAAGGATAGTATTTGCATACGTCACATATATATTCTTATTTTCATCTTTTCCAACATATTTCTCCAACGATCTTAAGGATAATTAAGGTTCCCCATAATCATGCCGTTTATGTTCTAATTGAATTATAAAATCAATCTTATGTATATATTTTCTTTACTACCTTGTTTTTATATTCTGCTTCTGTGTGTCTTCTCAAGCAAAACCATACGCAAGCTTCGATTGTTGTTCACACCATAATACAAACAAGAAATCGAGAGCAATTACGACAAAAGCGTCAACGGCAAGGTCATTGACGAAGAGGAAGAGTAGGATGATTCATCAGATATCGATATTACGGATTCAGGTAAGTGAATTCTCTCCCTTCGATAGTGGTAGTTGGTAAAGTCTGTCGTTAATGAATGAGGTCAAGTTTTCCGCTCATTGTTCTCGGGGAAAATTTCAAATCAATATCCAAAGTGGGGTCATTTTCTCAAAAAAGATTCAAAGTGGATATAGTGTCAAATAAGGGCCTGAAGTGCCCAATCAGTCTCAAATAGGGGCCCAAAGTGTCCCATTAGTCTCAAGTAAGGGCCTGGGTTTGCCGGCCGATCAAATGCTCACCGGTCGACAAGCACATCACTGTTTCAGTGATCGGAACAAGGGCAATTTCGTCTTTTACTTTTTAAATTTTTTTTGTTTCTTTTTTCTCTTTTTTTCTTTTCCTTTTCCTTTTCTTCTTCTTTTTTTTTTCCTCTTTTCCCTCCCCCGACCATATCCGGGGCCAGCGGAGGTTGCCGACCTCAGGCAGAGGCCGCTCTCGCCGGATTTGGCGAGGGTCGCCCTCGCCCGCCCAACCCAGGTGAGGGCGGCCCTCGCCCAACGCCGGCAAGGGTGGCCCTTTGCCCGAGGCCGGCAACCTCCGCCGGCCCCGGCTATGGTCGGTGGAGGGAAAAGAGGCAAAAAAAAAAAAAAAAGAAGAAAAGGAAAAAAAAAAAGAGAAAAAAAAAACAAAAAAATTTTAAAAAGTAAAAGACGAAATTGCCCTTGTTCAAATCGCTAAAATAGTGACGTGCTTGTCGGCCGGTGAGCATTTGACCAGCCGGCGAACCCAGGTCCTTACTTGAGACTGATTGGGCACTTCGGACTCCTATTAAGACTGATTGGGCACTTCAGGCTCTTATTTAACACTATGTCCACTTTGGACCCTTTTTTGATAAAATGACCCTACTTTGGATACTGATTTGAAATTTTCCCCTGTTCTCGTGATCCTTGCAATCCAATTTTTTAAATTCGACATCTTGTAAGCGAGTTTATGGTGAATTCTTATCGTGTTCGAATTTGATTTATCGAATCAGGTATATTCCATGAATTTGTGGTTCTATACTTTTTATGGAGAATGCTTACAAATTTTTCAATTACCTAGTCAAAGAAAGATTTAAACCGGCGTTGTGATTCTGTGTGGCTACATGGAAAGAGACAAAAAAGGAAAATTGAAAAGAAACAAAAAGAAATTTGGCCATTCTTAGTTTGAATTTATTTTCTGGGGGTAATTGTTTGGTGATGTCCATGCCGATATGCTCAAGTGAGTGTACACATGAACATGTGTTGGTGTTTGGTGGCGTGTCTTTGTACATGCTTGCTCGTGAGTACGGTGTGGGCCTCTGCATGCACACATGTTGGTATTTGTTCATGGCAATGTGTATGTTTGATAAGTGCATGAAGGTGTGAGAATGCTCTCTCATTCACGCACGTATCTTAGTGATTGTGAGATCAAAGGTACAGCTCCCTCTCTGTGCGTTGTTTCTTTCATCATTGTCCAATGAATCAATTCACTAAAAAAATAGATATGTTAAGTCATCACTCTCTTTCATGTGTTAACTGTTAAGTGAAGAGATAGGAAATCATGACACATTAAACTCTTAGTTCTTGATTATGAATTTGATTATGAATTTTTTTCAAATTGGTTTTTCTTGTGATGTGTCCATGCTGGATGTCAAAAGAAATAACGAGAATGTCTGTCAATTTGACATTACATGATTCATGTTTCTCCTAAGTTGATTTGGCATTCAAGAATATTCTGAGTTTTATTTACTGGTATGGTTTTTCTTTTGATTTATATTTTCTATTAGCATGCCCAACATCACATATAGGAAGTCGTACAATTTAAATATTATACATATATCTCATTATATTCACATCAGTATTACTTTATTAATACATCATCCAAAAACTACCACAAAACATAAAAGACCCGGGAAAGGGTTAGGGTCACCTATAGTGACACTACTCTTCTTCGCCCAAAGGCTTGCCTGTACAAAAGTCAAGCTTTCCGCTCCAGATTGACAACCTCACCCGTCGACTCATCACTTTTGCCATCAAAGCCTCTCAATGATCTGACCAACTCACCATCGAAATTCATGTACCAAGCAACACAATGATAGGGAATCCACTTTGGCAATCCCACGTCAACCCATATGATGGACCTACACTTATTATATATCATTTCCGATCCAGGTATAAGCACATTCTCATATATACACTCATAATGCGTGGGAGCTCTAAAAAGCAAAGGAGGTGGGCGATCCATCCTACATGTCTAAAAAATAAGGGGTGAGCCGAAGTCTAGTGAATGAAATCCCTTGCTATAAGGTAAGAGATCTGCTTAGTACTCAACCTGATGCAAAAAATATGAGTTCATAGTCAAACAAGATAATCATACGAAATGAGAGCAGGAAAGAATGCATTATATTTCATGTTGTGGCATGCCGATGGAAATCATTTACAACGTGGCATGAAATTTACTCTTTTCAACACAAGAGGATGACATAACGCATAGTTACCACTCACTCGTGACTTGTGAATATATGTACACGCATGCATTTTTAACCACCCACGTAATAAAAGGATCGATTGCATTTTTACGATGAGGAGAAGTGATGAGCCCAAAAAATGCTAGAAGGAATAGCCTACTTTGAGTCATTGATTGATTTGAAAAGTACTCGGCTAAAAACGAGAATGGACATGTATAGCAATTAGCATTAACAACTCTCCTTAATGCTTCGGTTCTAATTCTCAAAAATTGTGATAATTCAAACATGGGATCTATGCTGAGAGGCGACCTAACAAGTTCAGTCCTAAGACGCATTTCAATGGCGACACTGTATCCTTCCTAAGTTAGAGTTCACTCATGCTTACCAAATGTGATGGTAGACGTTCGGTGACACCAAAAGTGCAGTGTCGCTTGCATAGTGCCAGAGTGGATGTTGATATCTAGTAATGGGAGGAGGCGGCCCATCTTTAACTTCGCATAGCTTTGGCTTTTTCAATCCAGCTTATTCCACCACACCTTGAGCTCTTTTTTAGGAGTGGAAATGAATTGAACTTCGGTCCTCCCCATTGTACATAAATTGAGACCAATGACCCAACCTTTTGCCATTGACCAATAAAATAGAATAAATAAATTGCAAGGTAATGGGATAAAAAACTCACTTCACCAAGAATAATGACAATCACATATACATGTGCATGAGACGTGAGGCTCAATTTATATCTAGACGGCTTAGCAAGGTGAAGTTAAGAGGATGATCTGATCAGTCACGGTCTCGCATACTTGAATTAGGTCCTCTTAACTTCGGCTTAGTTAAAAGAAATGCCCTATAATCGCACGGTTTAGAGGATAGGGACAAACACTTTTAACACCCACGAAGAAAGTTTAGGTATAAGAAAGACAATGTCTACATCGCAGTCTCATGTTCACGATTGTATCTTTCTCAACACAATCCTAGATGATCCTATCGCGGCCCAAGTTCGGCAATAAAGTTGTATGTGTAATAGTGTAATGCTAAAATAATAAAGGCATGCACAACAATTCATATGCAATCACCTCTTCAATATCGAAATTAAACATTTATCACATCTCCCTACAAATAAAGGGTTACCATAGACTACTCCCCTTATAACTCACATCTGCAAAAATATTTAACACTCAATGTTTAAGACGTACCTTATATCCATGCTACCAGACAAAATTATTTTTGAATGAGAAAATTTTTTGCCCAGATCCACTAAGAGTCTTATGTCAAGTCTCCAGCGGAGTCGCCAAGTTATCGCGACCTACCTTTTCGGGGGGGTGGGGGAACCTAGGGTTGAATAATAGATTACTAAGCCTAGACCTAGCTCAAGCTCTTCCAAGCCCTTACTAATTCGTAATTTTGGTTCAAGTTCTTAACATGCAAATCAATTTCATTTCGGAATCGTTACTAATTAATTTTTGGTGGGTCGATTGGAAACCCAAGTAAAGTTTAGGAGAGTACTTTACTTCTATGAACCAGAGATTAAATGAATTTGGAGACGTGATTACGCTAGATACTATAATGCCCTTTTGGTACGTTTTCTCATTTATTCTCAAATACATTTTAGCAAGCAACTTGAAATGATTTTAAACTTAGCCACTAACATGTGAGGCATAATAATGCGGGTGCGCAAACAATGAAAATAACACTCAATAATAAAAAAAAATTGCTAGAATAAGGAAAGAAATTAAATACCTCGATGCAAGTGTCGTAACCCTCCCTAAAGGGTTCCCTTTTGGGGTCTCAGGAAAGATTTAGAGGTATTTGCTCATAAGACAGTCTGAATCAACATCCCAAAAGACGACTTGAGCACATCAACTAATGGTGATCCAAATCAGTCCATCAATTACAAGCACAGTCTCTCCCAAGATGCGAGAGCCACTAGTTATTAACAACTGAAGTATTTACTAGGAGTCGCCACTAGCCATTTGGGTTGGCTAGTGTTGAGAAAACCTCCTAATATATTTTAAAGTTAACAAAACTATCCAAGAGTTATTATAATTCTGACAAATACTTTTGAAGAATTTCTAAGTCCAGGAAGTTATTTTCCTGGAGGTCCAGACTTTACACGGATCAGAAGAAAAAGTCTAAGTTTTGCAAAGCAAAAAACAAAGTTCGGACTCTGTATACAGCAGTTGAAAAATTTCAGTTTATATTGGAAACAAAAGATTCAGAAATTAAAGAACAAATCATTTTGACTCAAGTTCTGAAGTACGAGATAAAGATCAAACTTTATCAAGACGCTATCGCAAACTCAGAAAAACGGCTAGTAGTCTGGCTTGGATTTCACCATTGGAAAATATTGATTGATTTGATCTTAAAAGACTATTTTGCAAAGAATATTTACATCTTGAAATATCCTTGATTGATTGACAATCAACCCCACAACAAGTTTATTTCCAAATGAAGAAGCTCTGCTTATGAAAATCAAAGTTCTTTGGAAACCAAAGTTCTGGTTGTACGGGCGATCAAATTTAGCGGGATTCAGACTTTGTCGCCCAACGGCTAATCAATCCTTTTTATACAAATCTGTCCAACGTGAAGATTGGAAAATGATCCTCTGAAGACTATCCAATGGCTAGTTTGGAAGTAAATGAGTATAAAAAGAGATAAATTATCAAGGAGCAGAAGTAGAGAGACAATATCCAAAATCATCCATTCCAAAGTCTGAGCACACTTCGACCAGTATAACTTGTCCGTCTTGAGCTAATATCTATGATATTGAGAGACTTGTTGTAAAGGTGATTGAGTGAGATAGAGTGATCCATCCTTCATCGAAAAATATCACTTAGAACTTGTAATCTCTTGATTAATCATCTAGTGAAATCCGGCCAGTAGGCTGCCAGCGTCGGAGAGTGGACATAGGTTTGATCTAAGCAGAACCACTATACATCTATGTGCAAATTTTCTCTTCCCTAAAATTCCTTTTATTTATTTAATTGCACTTTTATTTGTTTGCCATTCAAAGATTGATCAAAATCTGAACATTATTCAAACTTTACCTTAGATCAATTACTTCCGCATTAAAATTGATCAATTAGTATTCAAATCACCTATTCACCCCCCCCCCCCCCTCTATGTGATATTTGCTAGTCTCATCAGCTAGAAACCAATTGAGACACGGGAGCGTCTTCTCAATTCCTAAGGAACCAAATATTCTAATAATAGGAACTTGATTACGCTAATGATTCTATTAGCACCATTTTGGTACCTACTAGCTGGTTATTTTTCCAAAGTAATCATGCAATCTTGATTTACCATTTATGATCCTAAAAGGCATTAGTCCACTAAGTGACCATCCAAATGTTTTTGTAGTGGGTTCATTATGTGCCTAAGCTAATCCTATCCTATTCTAGGAAAGCGATTAACAATCAATGTATTAAAATGACGGTGCGGAAACACCCAAGAAATTGAAAATACTTCTAAAGTAAATGCGAAAATGGAAAACCCGACACGAGTCGGGCAAAGAATATTACATGGCCTTGTTATTAAGCCTCAAGACATGATCCTCAGAAGCTTGCTATTTGAAACTAAAGCTAGCCTAAATCTAATGAATTAATTCGGGTAAAGCCTAGGCTAGACTATTCTAATCATTTATTAAAGCGTGAGGCTAAGTCTAAGTGGATGTTATTAGCTATAGCCAATGCTAATTAACATATGAATGTTTAAACTAGCCTAATTAAGACTGCACTAGTGTAAACTATTACAAAAGATTAAGACCGACATGGACATTGGTCTACCCCCATTGGCTCCATTCGGCCGCCGCCACCTTGGGTGTCACCTTCGGCCGCCGTCTCGGAGTGTGTCAGTTTTATCATTCAATCATGCATGATATGCACTCAAGCGAAGGAAGCAATTAGCAACGTTCACATCAAATCAGCATCTTATTGTTTCGAAATTGGTCTTAGAACTAGTCATGCAATTCGATTGTCCCAAGCCACTTTCTAATCCACTAGCGGTTCATTGATTAAGATTAACGATAATCAACCCCCACTTGTATTCACAAAGCGGTGGGCCATTGTCGTTCATTTCTAGTTAAGGCTAATCACACCCACTAATGTACCCGCCAATCAACATGCTTCGTGAGCCTAATCATATATCTAAAAATCACATGCGAAGCTCAATTAAACAAGCATTTAGGCCAAATGAACTTTAGCAATCACCAATCAATAAGTGAGCCAAATTGGATCACTTATTCAATTATTAACAGATTATGAGCAATTATGATTGGATTCAATTAGGTGATTTAATGACCTATCCTTTGAATGAATTGGGCATCAATAGAAAGCTTGAAATGTGTACTTCAATGTTCATTAAGGACACTTGACCCAAATCTGACCCGATTTCAACATTGCTCAGAAATTGACCCAAATTCTGACCCGATTGAAAAATACTGGAAAATTTTAAACTTGGTCAAAACTGCGTGAAATTCTAATAACTTTTATGTTTTGAGTTTTTTTAAATAAGCCCTTCATATTACACAAAATTACCGATTTTCCTTAAAGACTCAACAGCAAACTGTTTTGTAGGCCAGAGCTGACTTTGTCCGATTGTTGGCCAAATTGACCACCTAAAATTTGCTAAAAAGTCCTTAAAATTTCCACACTAGCAATCAAGACCATAAAAAACAACTTTTCAGTTTTGTTGCAAAAAAGGACTCCAACAATTTTATTTTTGCAGAACAAAATCAGAGAAAAATGATGTAAGTTTTTCAAATCGAGTGCAAAAAGTTTTGATACTTTGCAGATGCAAGTTTTTGGATCAAACGGTGTCGGATTTTTACAAAATTTATATCACTGCGAAGCTCTCAATCTCAGGGAGAAGCGATAGCTCACGACGATTTTTGAAATTCCAACTCTAAAATTTCTAAAAATCAGAGAATACCTAGGGGTCAATGAAACTCCGAATTTCCGGATTTTTGTTAGACATCTTCAAACTCAAGTTTATGCATATTCAAGCAGATACTCCTCACATTATTACAAAACTTCATTCCATTTCAGCTAGCAGCAAAGTCCATATTAACGAACTCGAGCAAAATTACCAAGTTTTTATCAAGCAGTTTCTCAAATGGAGCAAACATAGCAATAATTCAATCAATACCCTCAGTAGGATGTACACAAGAAACAGACCAGCAACGTTTTGCTTCATACTTTTGCATTGAACAATCACACACAGCGAACACATATCTAAGACGAATACATGAAGTGTGCGTAATTCATTTCTTCGGTGGTTCACGCTTGTAGTGAAACTTGCTATGAACATTGATTACGAGTCTAAATCGAAACATTCAAAAGTAAACTCCGAAATGTATGACCACTGGACTCGTTTAGTCTATTCAGCAAAAGAATTAAGCAAGGAGGTAATTTCAGTCAGATTCCACATCTGAATACACGAACTGATTTAGTTCAGGAATTCCGATCGAACAAATAACATGCATTTCAGCCAAGAGATCTAAACACAACAACAAATCAGCGATCTATCTTCAGACAATCATAACATCACCAGGGTGAATTTAGATCTTAAATGGAACCTCAGTCATAGACGATTTTCAAACAATTATAGGTCAGATTTTCAATCTCAGATCACAAAAACAGAGCGCGGATTTGTGAACCTCGAAAGCGTGGTTCTCATAAATCCAGAGAGCAGAGGTCTAACTATGATTGGCACTCACTGGAGGTAGCAACTAGCGAGAGTGAAGACAGGTGATGATAATAAGAAACTGCAGGATCGACTTCCCAAGCAGATTCGAGGCTATCAAACTGCAACTGGAAAACATAGACATCTCCATGATTGAAACCGAATGAAGAAGCTCAAGCTATGACTGAGGAAAAACTTGAAGCAATGGCGATTCGAGGTAGAGCCGTCGGAACAGTTGTTGCTTTGCCGAATGAGGAAAGGCGCGCGTCTGAAGAGATTCGGTTCCGCAGAGTCACGGTAATGGCGAGCTTCAACGGAGCTGGAAGAGATATGGGGAGAGATGGCTGAGCTTATTTAGGGGGCTAAGGGTGGTTGCACAGCTGGTGGTCCGGCATGGCAGGCCGGTCGGCTCAGTCGAGCTCGGTCCAATGGGCCGAGCTCACCCTGGTCGGCTTGGTTTGATTGGATCATCTCGAGGTACGCCGATTATCTTAATTTCCTTCGATTTGTACGACGGATTAGGCCATTATGTACTATGGAAGTTCCATTGATCAAATTGGGTCTCAATTAATCAAATTAGACCTTAGACTAGAATGGGTCAGAACAAATTGGGCCAATTGGATTGATCCCACTTGGTCTAAGCAACCATTGAATCACTAAGTTGGTCAAATTGGGTCCGACCGTTGTGATTTTGTCAAAATTGAAATTGAAATTGAGTTGCTAGTGCCTAATCGTACTCAATCTTGGGGAATTTCGCTTCCAGCTTAGAATCTCGAAATTGGGTTAATAATTGCATGCATAACGACCTCCGGATCAAATGTTGTGAAGAAAATTTTCCTAAAAAATGATTAGAATAGAGTAAATTTCAAATTTGGCCAACTAGAAATCGAAATTCTTGATTTGGGGAAAAGTCAATTTTTGATTGATTTTTATAAAATTGATGAGTTAAAATTAAAATTAAGGTAAAAAAATAGTTGATTTAGTGATTTTTTAATTTTTTGATTTTTTTCAAAAAAAGTTAACCAAGAGTTGATTTCAGTGGTTAACTAAATAGTAACTCTAAAGACTTTTCTAAATTAGTGGCTAAATCAATGTCTTGACTTAGATTGAATACTATGAAACTGAAATTAACTTGAAAAACACTAAGACGATTCTTTTTAACGAGAAACGGGCCATGTCGCAATCAAAGGCCCCTAATCTCAAATTTTACCTTTGTATAATTTGTTGGTTACAAAGTAGGTGTCAATAGCAAGTAAATCACATAAATTAATTTCCCAAATATCTGCAAAGTATTCATTAATAGGAAATACTAACCTGACCTGGCATGATTTCTATGAACTAACTAACAACTCCAATTAATTCCCTCTTGATTTATTTATAAGGCTAAGTATATGCATTCTAACCTAAGTTAAACATGCAATCTATTCTAATATGACATGCATTCTTAGGAGTGATCGATTCCCGGTCCGGTCCGGTTCCAAGGTGGAATCGAGAACCAGACCGAGAGAACCGGTTCCCAAAATTGGGAACCGGTGACTGGATCGGTTGGTCCTAGGACTGTGAACTAGATCGGACCGGTGGTCCAGTCCAGTCCAATGGAACTGGTCACTTAAAGGTTAGTTTTTTTTTTTTGGTCAAACACTTAGGATTTAGTTTACATTTTACTAATTTTTGTCAATGAATTTTTGTCAATGAAGTTCACTTAGAGTTTAGTTCACATTTTACTAATTTTTTTGAAGAAAAAAATAAAATATATATACATAGTCGGTCTGGTCCGTCCGGTCCGATTCCCCCTTGGAACCGGGAACCGGACTACTTGGACATCGGTTCCACTTTTAGAAACCGAAAACCGAACCGACACTCCCGGGAACCAAAAACCGGACCGACACTCTCGGGAACCAGAGCAAACCGGCCGGTCTGATCTGGTCCAGGCGATTTCCGATCCAAGCGATCCATTTTACACACCCCTTTCCATTCTAAATTAAATGACCCTAAATATGCAATCACTAAATGGCATGGCATGTATCATGGCAATGATGTGGCATAATGACATGGAATTTATACATCTAATCATGTATGACATACACATGTTTTGGATTTTTTATTAAAATTCGAAATAAATTATTAATGAAAGTTAACTATCTAAAGTGAAAAGATATCCTATTTAAACTAGGAAACAATTTAGATTAACTCCTATTTTAATTCGAAAACTTATCAAATAGATATTATCCTAATATGCTATCTAATCTAGAAAATAAATCTATCTATCATGCAATGTTATCTTTTTATATTTTCAAGATAGGAAAGTTATCTATCCGTTGGCGGTGCTGATTCAGCTTGCTCTACGCCATTGCCAGACGGAGATAACAAAAGGGGTTGAAAAAATACAGATTTGGAAGAGAAATCTTCGTGGTTCAAAGCTCCTATGATCATCAATGAAAAGTAGAGGCAGATGACCAGTACACAGATAGAGTACAGAAGTATCGAATCCCCGAAAATATTATTAATCTCCCAAATCTAAATATCAAGAGAGAAAAGCTCCTAGATCTAGAACTTCAAACTCTCAAATTTAGAATTAGTCCGGAAAAAGAGAGCTCCCAAATTTAGATTGGGAAAGAAGAAAAAACACTTAAAGAAGACGATGGAGAAAGAAGAGAGAGGAAGAAATTCGGCTTCCAAAAAAGTCATAAAGATATTCATTGAGATTTGAAATAAAAGATTAAGATACCTGAAAAATTATCCCTCTTCTCACAGCTAAAATTAACATTTATCATAATTTTTATTTGACACTCATCAATAGTCAAGAAAAATCAAACTAATCAAAAAATGATTTAAGGTCTTGCGAATCAAATTAGTGATTATGATAGTTTTTACCGGTAAAACCCTAATTTGATAATGCCTAAAATCTCAAAGAATCAAAGTTAAATCGCAATAACTTCAAAATAGGCAAATAGAATATTCAAATCAACTCTGGATAAAATAATTACCTAATGTAGAGATATGATTCCAATTCAGACAAACGGATGGATGCTTGCGGTGGTGGCCGACGGTGACGGATGAGCAACGGTGGTGGCACTCGGCCAAGGGGATCCCAATGATGGGGAATTCTCGGTTCACTGGGATTCTCGGTGTTGCTCACGGTGCAAGGTCTCGACGCAACAGTCTCGGTAGGGACCGAGATGATGGCTCCCCGAGGAGTCCTTGGTGTAGGCTGGTTACCCGGCCAGTTCTAGAACAGCGGGTGAGCTCTGGGAGACCTGCAAAACAGAGCTTTCCATGTTGCGAGCCCTGCTTAGCTTGGTGGGCAAGGGGCAGTAGCGTTAAACAGGGACCAGCTTCGTCGTCGAGGGCTTGGAGGCGCGTCGTTGAATAGAGGCTGAACTGGAGTGCTGCAGTGCAAGTGCAAGCGACGGTGAGGTGGCGATCAGCGAAGGAAATCAGTGCAGCAGCCTCACCATCGGTGGGATCACAGTCCAGTAAAGCCACAATAGTAGAAGGTCGTCGGGGTGCACCGACGGTACAGTAGGTATTGTCGCGATTGGAGGCACGGCTACTGGTAGTGGATCACGGCCAAGCCGAGTGTGGCTGACGGTCAAGCCAAGAGGGGGATGGGGGTCGTGGCTGTGAAGTTTCGACCGTACGTGACTCCTCTCTCTTTTTTTTCGTTAGTGTTTTTCTATTGTGCTCTCAATTCTAAAATTTGCCGACCTCCTCCTATTCAATTGTGACCAGGATGTTTTTATATAGCGTTAACCCTAGGTTTAATTCACTCTTACGGGCTTAATTTTTGTCTTATTAAGATAAGGAGCTTTAATAACGTAAGACCATTCACTAATTAAACTTTAATGTGCTAAATTTGACTAAATTAAGCTCAACAAAGCCTCTCTTCTCTAGTGAATTTAGGCCAGTGCATAGTGCATGGGCTTGGCCAAGTTCAATTTTGCTTATGGGCTCAATTAAGCTTAAAACCCACAAAACTCTTAATAAATTCCAGCCCTAATTATATGGACTTAACCCATCTCAATTAAAGCCCAGAACCCTGTCCTTTACTCATGAAAATTTTGGCCAGTATACTCCCTGTGGCTTGGCCAAATTTTGCCCTTGTTCGTAGGCTCAGTCAACATAATTCAATTAAGTTCATAACCTTAATCCACCGCTGGTCCAATTAAATGCTTTTATTTATTAATGGAAGTATGTTCCTAATGACTATATGCATTTTGTTATGGACTAGGGTCGATCCTTAATTTTCTATGCAATAAATAATTTAAGTTGTCAAAATTTAAGTGTCAACAACCAGAAACATTATAATTTTGTTATTCGAGACCAGCCTAGTAATTGTAACTCACCACGTACGCACGTGCACGTTCGAAGGAGTAAATGTTGAGGCAACCGATCATGTGAGCCTAGTTTGTATCCACCACTAGATTAAGTATGTCCCACGTGAAACCCTGTACCAAAATATCTCAAGTTGTTAACTAAGATCGAATGCACAAACACTATTCCACTTCTACATGTCAAATTGAGGTAAAGGACAGTTGATATGGGCCGGCACGTATTTCTTCTTGGGCTGGGCTTAGCCATTTCGAGATTTATCTCTTCATCAATGCGAAAATGAATTTCCCCAAAAAAATTAAGGTTTTATGTCATTAAGTTGTCTCAAAGATTGGTTGGTCTCGGGCACTTAACCAAAGCAGAGTCGGGTCGGAACCCAATTTCCAACGGGTAATAGATTGATACCATCTCCACATCTATATGTATGGACTAATGGCACCGCAAATATCTAAACTTTTATCTATTTTTACAATCGAATATCTATTAAGTACAATCAATTAAGTTTCTAGCAAAAAAAAAAGTACAATCAATTAAGTACTAACTTTTTAAACGTGGGTCCATGTGAGGCCTTCGTTAAAATGACGGATAGAAAACAACAAATTGGACACCATCACCGTTTAATAACCATTAATTATCCACATTGATATCTAATGGGATCTCTTGACATGATGCCAATCAGCCAAAACATATTACATAGCAAAGATTGTCCAAGCCAGGCATTCTCTCTTCTCATCGCCCAACCTATGGAGTTGACGCAATTATTGCTAAATAAGCGATGTACCATCGTTAATGGTACTTAAATTTTGCCGAGTTAGAGAACCGCGTCAGTAAAACCACTTGACATGGAGGTCACATTGAGCAAATTTTGAAAATTTCATGTACTTTTTCTGGTCAAGAAAAGTTCATGTACTTAATTGAACAATATAAAAGATTATGTACATGATTGTAAAATGAAAAATAAAAAAAATCAAGTACAGTTGTCATTACCCCTTTATATATTCCAATTTGTTCCTCAATGCATCGCATCATACTTAGAGCTTCTTTGGTATAACTAGGGGTGTGCAAAAAAATCGGAAACCGCTCGGAACCGGTCCAATCCTCGGTTCCAATTTTTGAGAACCGATGGGTACCAGTC